TGGTCGAAGACACAGTTTTGAGCGAGGGCATTGTACTAGTGGTTGTCGATATTAGCAAATCGCTGGTTAGGCAGTACGGGTCGGGAGATGGGCACTGAGCACTCCATGACCCAATTTGCAATGCAGGGGAGAGAGAGCGTGCTATTATTTCTATTAATCTTTAATACACGATTGGATGGTATTCATGGGCAGCACGATCACTAGTACCCATGACTATCCCAAGCGCTTTTTCGCGAATTAATTTATGATTAATCGCGATTAATTGATTTTCACGGCGAGCGATACAAAAATACGTCTGAAGTCGTTGACGGTTGACGGTAACATGTAACATGTAAAATGTAAAATTTTTTTTTTTATTCTTAAATTCTAAAAAATCATATGCTCAAAAATGTATATACTGACTGAGTACGGGTATAAGTAGAGTCGCGTCCCCAGAAGCGACTCGCACGTTCCTTCTCGCTCAGTTTATAATATATCAATCTGGGCCCACTGTGCGCATCTGCTGAGCGGTATCGAGCTCGCTCGGCTCGTTTCTTACGAACAGACGAAGCTGTCGGGCAGCGGGCTCGCGGTCAGAGACGAAGCATAGCCGAAAAGAGAATTAAAACCCCGCGCGCTCCTTCTGTCCATGGGGCGCACCGGTAAGCCTCGCCATAGAACAGCTTTTTGGTCGCTCATGCAGCATCTTGGTATGGTATAGTCTTTGGTATAATTCAAAACACATACAGGGGTGCCACAGAAATCACTAGTGTAATGGGAAACCGCGCAGAGGATTTCCGCTTCAAAATTTCCGCCGTGCCACAGAATTCCAAGCGATTTCATTTTTCTTAGCATTGTCACAAACCAAATTCGAACTAAGGCTAGGGTTGACATCTTTCAAGATTCAATTCGAATAGAGTTCATTTTGCAGTTTTATTGATTTTATCATATCAAAACAATTGGTTTTTATTTTTTTCTTTTATGATATAAAATAATTTATTTTTCGAGCGAGTCAAACAAAACAATGTACTCGGCAACTCTAGCAGTTGTCTGGCAACTCTCCGTGAATGGCAGCAATCAGCTGTTCAAAAAGAACACATCTGAATTTTAAGGTAAACTTAAAGTAAATGCTTTTACCGAGACTGTTGGCCATCGAAGAACTACGGAGGCAACATATTAGAATACAAACCTTGCAGCGCAGGATTCTCAGATGCGCATCGGACTCGTTTTCACGTTCAAACGATACGTATGTGGTTTTTGTGATTGTCTTCTCAAACTACTGCTAATTTAGTTCATTACAATTACCAGTTTTTGGTATAATGATCGCTATGCTTCTATTTGTGCTGCCATGGGTCTGCACTTAGCCGAACAGGGGTTTTTGACATGGTTTGTTAGTTTTGTTTTGGCATTTTGAAGCGATGCCACCTGGTATAACTACAAATGACTACAAATGTTTTCACAATTTGCACAAAAAGTATGCACACGTTTGACGTAAAGGAAGTTTTACTACAATGAGCTATTTTTTGTAATGCTCATTTAAAGAAAAACAGAACGCTTTCAATATAATTAATATTAAATATACTGCTCTGAATTCGACTTAAAAAAGGTGGCATTACTGTATTAACTTCGAAAGTGTGTTTATACCCGTACTCAAAATAGAGTTAAGGGGTATATTGTATTTGTGGTAAAAGTTGATGTGTGCAACGCAGAGAAGGCAACGTTTCCGACCCCATAAAGTACATATATTCTTGATTAGCATCAATAGCCGAGTCGATAGAGCCATGTCTGTCTGTGTGTCTGTCTGTTCGTCTTGATGAGCGCCTGGATCTCAGAGACTATAAAAGCTAGGGAACCAAACTCATTTGATATCACACTGCTACAAGTGTATTTCAAAATTTCGCATTATGTTTTCATCTTGGAAAATAAAGTTAATTCTTCGTGCTTGTCGAAATTTTCATATTTCGACTAAGCGACGTTTTTCCAGCAGCAGGTACTAAAAAAAGCAACAAAGCGAAGGCTTGCAAAAAAACACCTAACACCCAAAACACTCTATACATTTTGTGCTTCCCTTTTCACCCCATCCTTCTTTCGACTCCGATGCGTCAACGTATGCCACACACACTCATGCACACAGCTACCTATTCACTTTTGTTACTTGTGTATCCAAACACTCATGCATTATTATATTGTACACTCAGTTGTCCGGTGGTTAGAAATACCGGGTGTCAAAATCACCTTACATTTACCCGGTGCACCTTAAGTGCCGGTGGCTTGATGCAGTTCTCTGGCTTCCCCAGAAGCGACTCACACGTTCCTTCTCGTTTTTTATTTAATGCGTGTATTTGGTTGAGAAACTGCATAATATCGTTGTTAATGGTAATGTAGTACAAGTAAACAATATTTAGACCACTGTGCATCTTCAACGAGCTGCCTATCACTTTTGGAAGAAATTGGTCCTCTGCAAAGGGCCACCATACCCATACCACCATGTAGGTGGTAGAAAGCCGTTGGAAAGCTTCGTGCTTAATTCTCCTGAATGCATTGTTTCTTTGAAGGAAAAAGCAGCTAAGAAAGATTTGAAGCTATAAAAATATGCAGGCATCTGTTTCTGCCAGAAAAAGCGTGGGCGGCAGGCATCATTAGCCAAACCAGCAGCTAAGCGAAACAAGGCTCTTTTGGACGATGATTAGGATTTTTGCATCATCTGTCTGCTAGAATGTGCAAGAAGAATGTAATAAATGTAATCGTCTGGTGCATATGAAGTGCTTTTATATGCGTGCAAGTAACTTAACTTGCAAGCATTGCGACTCCTATTCCGATGATTGATGTTAAAAAGTGTCATCCTTCTATTTCTTTATGCGAGTAGGCTCGATTTCTCGTTATTTTTTGTGATTTTCTTTCATATTTTGTAATTTTAAGTGGATTTTTCAGGGTGGTCCACAACTAGGATTATATTTTTTTCTCGAAAAAGGTTACTTCACTAGATACTTGATACAATTTTTCTGGATGAAGGAATCAATTTAGTTATTCATTGATAGTTAGCTAATACCTAAGGCTATGAGGAAAAACAAAACTATTTCCACAACCGGACCCTCTTCCTTACTATGCAATAGCAAGGAACACGTGTCTAGGGATCGCACCTTATGCCCAGTATAAAAGAACAAGATTGAATTAAAATAATGACAATCAAGAAAAGAGCGCGCAAAAACAATTAAACTGAAAATATTCTACTTGATGATTAATACGCTGTTGCACTCGAATGAACCAATTTTCAAACGGATCCAACGGGATTTTACACCCAGGTGATCAAGATAAATCAATATTGATGGACGTCAATATGTGCAAGAATGCCTCTATCTCACGGTATATGACATGACGATTTAATTTATAGTTAATCGATATCAAACGTGGTCGTACATGAAAAAATTGAATGAAGGTTTAAGCCTAGTACTCAGATCCAAGCAAACAAATGTCATATATTCTTCGAGCGGCGAGTGGTGTGACCAGAGGTGTGCACTGCATTCCGAACGGTTACACTGCTCAGACAGCTGCTTGGTTTTGTTTAAAGTTAATAAAATGCACGTATCCTGGGCTCCCCAATATTTTATTGGAAAGGTAATGTGTCTGACTATCAGCAGCAGCAGATGGCCTCCCGACGCCTCCCGTGCCGACCACCGTGAAGAAAAAATGTTTTGAAAACAATATTTGTTTTATATTTATGAAAATTAATAAAAATAATATATTATAATATCCATATAATTAATTGTCCTTCATATTTGTCTTTGTCTTCATTATTTTAAGCTTTAAACGAAAAATTCCTGCCACAGTTTTTTATACCCGTACTCAAAAAAGAGTTAAGGGGTATATTGTATTTGTGGTAAAAGTGGATTTGTGCAACGCAGAGAAGAAAACGTTTCCGACCCCATAAAATATATATATTCTTGATCAGCATCAATAGCTGAGTCGATAAAGCCATGTGCGTCTGTCCGTCCGTCTCTCCGTCTTGATGAGCGCCTAGATCTCATAGACTATAAGAGCTAGAGAAACCAAAATTTGGTTTCCAGTGTATTTTTAAATTTCGCCCCGCCCCCACATAGGACGAAAATTTGTGGCAGGCACCATTTTAAGGAAACGATAAAACTAACGAGAAGGAACGTGTGAGTAGCTTCTGGGGACGCGACTCTTCTTATACCCGTACTCAGTCAGTATATACATTGTTGAGCTTATGATTTTTTAGAATTTTAGAAAAAAAAAAAATTTTACATTTTACATTTTTTTTGCTACATCTGATATCTACATATACATATACAATGTATATTCTACATCTAACATGTAGATTATAGATGTACCATTCATATTCTACATCTCCTCCGCTAGGGGTTTCTCGCACACAAACACTAACGTGTTTTTGGCAGGGGGAGGCGGAGGAAGCAACAGAAAATTAATTTCTTCATTTTGGCTATAATTATGATCCAATCTGATTCAGATTCGGCAGTCTGGTAGATATGGGCATTCTCTACGATAAGTTTTATCGTATCCTTAAAAATGTGCCTGCCACAGATTTTCGTTCTTTGTGGTGGTGGAAGTGGGCGGGGCGAAATTTTGAAATACACTTGTAGCAGTGTGATATCAAATGAGTCTGGAAACCAAATTTGGTTGCCTTATAGCTCTTATAGTCTCTGAGACCTAGGCGCTCAACAAGACGGATGGACGGACGGACGGACGGAAGGACAGACGCACAGAAGGTAACGTTTCCGACCTCATAAAGTATATATATACTTGATCAGCATCAATAGCCGTCTGCCCATCCCGATGAGCGCCTAGATGTCAGAGACTATAAGAGCTAGAGCAAACAAATGTTGTGTCCAGATTCTTGTAATATCACACTGAATCAAGTTTGTTTCAAAATCTTACCACACCATCTGTAGCCGCGACAAGGTCCGCACAATGTCCCGCCCGTTCTTACCCAGTTCGATGATATAGTTAACCAACCATTCTGATTTGATTCTTTGTCTCAACAGGACTTCAAGTAACAGACATCGGAAGCTACAGCCGTTCAGGTACACGTGAGCCGAATACTGTGCCGTTGCAAAAGACTTCTGATAATTATACAAATTTCAAAACCCCAATTAATATAAAAAAAAAATAAAAATATAAAATAATTAAATATATATATATATACATATATACTAAAATAAGTATAGTATATATATATTTAATACGAGAATATACCGAAATAAAAAAAAATAAAATAACAATATATACATCTCAAAAGCATTGCTGGTGCAGAAAGCTGATTCTTAATCTTCAATTTAAAACAAGAGAAGCCTTAGCTCTCTAGGACTTTATGTTCCATTTCAAGTCTTTAAAAAGCAAAAAAAGGAAAGCGCCACAAGAAACGGCACAAATAGCTAAATGGGTCAGGGACTATAACGATCTCAACTCAGTCCTAGTTGAGTATTTACGTGCTCGGCCACGTAACTAAAACAAAGAAATGCGAATTTTATAAACGAAAAGCAAAGAAATCACCATACAGTCAAAAGTAAATGACAACAAATTGCCTTCACGGTGCGCATATAACATATAAGCAATTATAAGCTTAAAAAAAAGGATACTATCGTACGAAGTATTTTGTCAACATCAGCCTTTACATATTTTTCCAAAAAATTTCGAAAATGGCCACCGTCAACGTTAACCGTAGTGTGACAGATATCTTCTATCGTTATAAAATGCCGCGCCTTCAAGCAAAAGTAGAAGGAAAAGGCAACGGCATCAAAACTGTTTTGGTTAATATGGCTGAAGTTGCACGCGCTATTGGCCGTCCGGCCACCTATCCGACAAAGTACTTTGGCTGTGAGCTGGGCGCCCAAACGCTTTTCGATCATAAGGTAAGCAAAAGATTATTTAAGTCCTATTTATAGCGTGCGTGTATCTTGATCATATACAGTCTTGGAAGAAATAAGTTTATTATTGTTTATTTATTATTTTGACAAACAAATTTTTAAGGATGGTTTTAAAAACATTGTGTCTTTATGAGCAGCTCTAACGAAGATTTAAAGAAATTTTTGATGCATTCGTCCCAAGAAACTATTTCTCAGAGGAAGTATTAAAGTTGAATATATGTACTGATATAGAGATAAAAAGTATTGAGACAATGGAGGAAAAAAGAGAGGTAATGACAATGAGGAAAAAGGAGAAATAATTTTAGAAACGACTAAAACAATTAAACAACAATAACAATTCTGTTTGCAGTGTGTGCATTGAAAGTGACACACTTAGGCAGACTCCGGCTTTCACATTCACTTTGCGCTTTACTTTTCAGCAAAAAGTCATACTTTTCATTTCAAGGCTCTCTAGAATCCACAAATGTCGATTTATTTACTCCCTGTACTGTTAAGCGCAAAATATACTGCTGTTATACCTACGCGTTAGTACCAGCTCATACAAAATGGCCTATGTTATGTGTATGTGGAATTTAGAGAATTAAAACGTATAGGGAGATGGCCTTGTTGTGGACCAGGTACTAGTTGTGATCCACCCCCCCCAAAAACTTGGATAGCAAGCAGATGCTACTGATACGAGTATTGGGAGTTATTCGTATTCATTAACAATACGCAGTTTTTGTGCTAACACCGAAACAAACAGCTGGGGGAAAAAAAACTTAAAAGTAAATTTTATTATTTTTGAAGTAAAAAAATTGGATGGAAATTTTGTCCAAAAATTTTATGTTTAGTTTTTCTTTTAGTGTGGTCATTTTAGTTTGTGAATTTATTTCGTTTTTAACCAAAATATGTGAGCCGGTTATATGTTTTACCCGGTTATGACACGCCATTAAAACTTTTGTGGACACCCTGTATTTTTTTTACCCTTACTCAAAAAGAGTTAGGTATATATTAGATTTGTGGCAAAAGTAGATATGTGTAACGCAGAGAAGGAAACATTTCCGACCCCAATAGCCGAGTCGATAGAGCCATGTCTGTCTGTCTGTCCGTCCATCCGTCCGTCTTTTTGAGTGGCTAGATCTCAGAGACTATAAGAGCTATAAGGCAACCAAATTTGGTTTCCACACTCATTTGATATCACACTGCTACAAGTGTATTTCAAAATTTCGCCCCGCCCACTTCCACCACCACAAAGAACGAAAATCTGTGGCAGGCACAATTTTAAAGAAACGATAAAACAAAAAACGCAGTATCGTAGCGAATGACCATTCTACCACTCTGCCGAATCTGAATCAGATCGGATCATAATTATGGCCAGAATGAATACATTTTCAGATGCTTCCCTTGCCTCCTACAGAAAGACCCCCGTTACTCATTCCCTTTCTCGCTCGCACACTCTGCGCGCTATGTACGCGAGCGCCCTCTAGCGGAGGAGATGTAGAATCAAAATAGTACATGTATAATCTACATGTTAGATTTAGAATATACATTGTAGATGTAGATAACAGATGTATCAATAAAATAAAAAATGTAAATTCTAAAAATTAAAGCTCAGAAGCGTCCCCAGAAGCTACTCACACGTTCCTTCTCGTTTTTTATTTAATGCGTGTATTTGGTTGAGAAACTGCATAATATCGTTGTTAATGGTAATGTAGTACAAGTAAACAATATTTAGACCACTGTGCATCTTCAACGAGCTCACTTTTGGAAGAAATTGGTCCTCTGCAAAGGGCCACCATAGCACCATGTAGGTGGTAGAAAGCCGTTGGAAAGCTCCGTGCTTACTTCTCCTGAATGCATTGTTTCTTTGAAGGAAAAAGCAGCTAAGAAAGATTTGAAGCTATGAAAATATGCAGGCATCTGTTTGCCAGAAAAAGCGTGGGCGGAAGGCATCATTAGCCAAACCAGCAGCTAAGCGAAACAAGGCTCATTTGGACGATGATTAGGATTTTTGCATCATCTGTCTGCTAGAATGTGCAAGAAGAATGTAATAAATGTAATCGTCTGGTGCATATGAAGTGCTTTTATATGCGTGCAAGTAACTTAACTTGCAAGCATTGCGATAGTTCGCTAATACCTAAGGTTATGAGGAAAAACAAAACTATTTCCACAACCGGACCCTCTTCCTTACTATGCAATAGCAAGGAACACGTGTCTAGGGATCGCACCTTATGCCCAGTATGGGGTAAAAGAACAAGATTGAATTAAAATAATGACAATCAAGAAAAGAGCGCGCAAAAACAATAAAACTCAAAATATTCTCCTTGATGATTAATACGATGTTGCACTCGAATGAACCAATTTTCCAACGGATCCAACGGGAATACACCTTTTTTACACCCAGGTGATCATGACAAATCAATATTGATGGACGTCAATATGTGCAAGAATGCCTCTATGTCATGACGATCTTGCTCAATCTTTTTGCGCATAGCATCGATAGTTTGAGGCACAAAAATTAATTTTAAGCGACCTTCACAAAATTCGTCCTCCAACGAAGGACTTCCACGATTGAGTTCGTGTTACGAGCTTTTAAATTGGCAATGCATGGTGCTTCATCAATAAAAGTTGAACTAAGGTCATCTAGGCATTTTTGGCTTAAAAATCCATCTCAAATATGGTAGAAAATTATGACAAAGACGTTTTCATGTGTAAATTTAAATTTTTGCCTGAGATGAATCTTTGATTTATATTTAATCGATATCAAACGTTTTCGTACATGAAAAAATTGAATGAAGGTTTAAGCCTAGTACTCAGATCCAAAAACTGTTTGCTAGCAAACAAATGTCATATATTCTTCTAGCGACCAGTGGTGTTACCAAAGGTGTGCACTGCATTCCGTACGGTTACACTGCTCAGACAGCTGCTTGGTTTTGTTTAAAGTTAATAAAATTAACTTCTTCGGCTGGGGTCGCCTCTTCCCCAGGCATATCCTGGGCTCCCCAATATTTTATTGGCAAGGTATTACTGAGTACTAGGCTTTAAACGAAAAATTCCTGCCACAGTTTTTTATACCCGTACTCAAAAAAGAGTTAAGGGGTATATTTTATTTGTGGTAAAAGTGGATTTGTGCAACGCAGAGCAGGAAACGTTTCCGACCCCATAAAATATTCTTGATCAGCAACAATAGCTGAGTCGATATAGGAGACGGAGAGACGGACGGACAGACGGACATGGGTCTGTCTGTCCGTCTCTCCGTCTTGATGAGCGTCTAGATCTCATAGAATATAAGAGCTACAGAAACCAAATTTGGTTTCCAGTGTATTTTAAAATTTCGCCCCGCCCCCACATAGGACGATGGCAGGCACAATTTTAAGAAAACGATAAAACTAAAAACGCTGATCATCCAGATTGCCGAATCTGAATCAGATCGAATCATAATTATGGCCAGAACGAAGAAATTAATTTTCAGTTTCTTCCCCCGCCTCCTACAGCAAGAGACCCGCTACTTATTTTCTTTGCGGAGAGGATGTGCAATGCTCTCGTCGACTCAAACGCACTCAACATCTGCATTTAAGATGTGGAATCGACATTGTAAATTTAGATAACAGATATACCAAAAAAATGTAAAATAGAAAATTTTTTAAAATTCTACATAAATCATAAGCTCACAAATTTACTGACTGAGTACGGGTATAAAAGTAGAGTCGCGTCCAAAGAAGCGACTTACACGTTCCTTTTAGTTTTTTTTTCGATTTATTATTTACGTAAGTGTTTTCACGCAATTGCTATGGCGCCTATTTTTATATAAGTAGTCAGTAGTAGTAAGTATGTCTATTGGTTATCGATAGAAAATATTTTAGACGGACCGTATTTAAGGGAAACGTAAAGTAGCCTAATACAATTTATAGGTGATTAGTACATAATGGCGGCAACAGGCGTGTTGCAATATTCTTTGCAAGATGTTATGACTGAAATATACATTACTTAGTATTTTTAGTGGACTGTATATTTCTAAATATGACTAATAATAATCTGTTTTTTATAGAATGAACGGTTTATTGTTAATGGATCGCATGACGTGAACAAGCTTCAGGATTTGTTGGATGGCTTCATTCGAAAGTTTGTTTTGTGCCCCGAATGCGATAACCCAGAAACTAATCTGACCGTATCAGCTAAGAACCAGACAATCTCGCAGTCTTGCAAGGCATGCGGCTTCCATGGTCTGCTTAAGGTGAACCACAAAGTGAACACATTTATTGTGAAAAATCCACCATCACTTAATCCAGCCGCTCAGGGCTCTTCGCTCACTGAGGGGAAACGCTCAAGAAAACAGAAACAGAAGAACGAAAACTCTGATGGATCAATGTGTAACAACTCAATAGCCAACAACTCTGGCGGAGAGTCAGATGGCGGCAATGGCCCCAACCAGGCCAGCCAAACAGAGGCTGAAATAAGCGCGGCCATTCCAGAAAAAAATATAACTGAGGACGATGATGATGGCTGGAGCGTCGACGTATCTAAGGTAATCAATAATAATTGTTTCTAACCAAACTAATGCTGCCACTAAATAATCCATATATTATAATTAATTTACCCATATAGGAGGCCATACGGGCGCGATTACAAGATCTAACTGATGGTGCTAAGGGCATGACAATTTCGGAGGACTACGACAAGACCGAAAAGGAACGCATTGATATCTTCTATGAATTGGTAAAAAACAAGCGTGACAAAAGACAGCTGGACGATGTTGCTATACACAAAGAGCTGCTGATCGAAGCAGAACGATTGGATATAGTTAACAAATCCCCGCTAGTTCTCGCTGAGCTTTTGTTTACTGAGAACATTATTAATGACGTTCGCAAAAACCGCATCTTGTTACTTCGCTTTACTCATAATAATCCAAAAGCACAGCGCTATTTAATTGGCGGCATCGAGCAGACTGTCGAGCTTCATACGAACACGTTAATGAGCAAGGTCGCCGGGATATTCAAAATCTTTTACGATTTGGACATACTCGATGAAAAGGTCATTCTGGACTGGGCACAGAAAGTGAGCAAACGACATGTTTCCAAGAAAATTGCCACCGAGATTCATGAGAAGGTAAAGCCGTTTGTACAGTGGCTCAAAGATGCCGAGGAAGAAGATTCCTCTTCTGGAGACGATGACGATGCTGCTGGCGATTCTGATGTGGAGATTGAGTACGATGATCGGGCCCGCATTGAACCATTGAAGGTGGCCGTAGCCATGGAACGTGGCCTTGGCGTTGTGTCTAGTAAGAAAGTCCAAGAGGATGAGGAGGGGGATGAAATTGATATAGACGACATATAGTCAACCAACAATGTTTTTTAAATGGAATCGCCATTGTTCTGTGCTTTTAAGAGGGTCATCGTAAGAACTATTACGATGTTGCTTTTCTTTGATTTACAGCCTTGCTATATTTCGATTGCAAGCATTGCATTAATTAACCAGCTATCAAACAAAAAAGTTAATTGAACTTAATAACATCAAGTTAATTTAACTTAATTACATCTACATATATACAGAAAATAAAAATTCAACAGCATGCAATAGAAACCAAATTGTTGTCTATATATATTTAATGTTTCTTTTTTTGGGAACTATTGTATTGTTTTCCATATAACAATGTATAATGTAATTGGGGAGGCTTTGCAGTTCGGAAAATTGAATTAAAGGAAATATCATCTTCCTCTGTATGTACTTTAGGATGGGCCGAACGTACCAAACTTTTGAAACTTCAAACAACTTCAATTCCCCTTAGTATCCAGCACCGCGGAATCGAAAATACCTGTTAAACTTCATATAAAACGAGAAGGAACGTGTGAGTCGCTTCTGGGGACGCGACTCTACTCATACCCGTACTCAGTCAGTATATACATTTTTGAGCGAACTTTTAAAATACACTGGAAACCAAATTTTGGTTTCATTAGCTCTTATAGTCTATGAGATCTAGGCGCTCATCAAGACGGAGAGACAGACGGACAGACGCACATGGCTTTATCGACTCAGCTATTGATGCTGATCAAGAATATATATATTTTATGGGGTCGGAAACGTTTCCTTCTCTGCGTTGCACAAATCCACTTTTACCACAAATACAATATACCCCTTAACTTTTTTTGAGTGGCAGGAATGTGGCAGGAATTTTTCGTTTAAAGCCTATTACTCAGATTCGAAAAAACACCTCGTGAACAGATATTCGTATGAAACCGATAAGAAATTTTTTCCGGCAAAAACTGTTTTCTAGGCTCTGTATGGAAGGCAGTACTCAGATCAACAAAAAAAGGTCGGTGTATACTGAAAAAGTATCCGAAGTATTTGCTTGTATTGCTGGTATGTTTCGACCCCCTCGAAAGTTATATCAATTTGATATATTTTGCCAGCAAATACGCAGCAAACATTGCAATATGAGAACAAAAAACCAAATGAAATATTTAAATAATGAAGACAAAGACAAATATGAAGGAAAATTATATGGATATTATAATAAACAAATATTGTTTTCAAAACATTTTTTCTTCACGGTGGTCGGCACGGGAGGCGTTGGGGAGGCCATCTGCTGCTGCTGATAGTCAGACACATTACCTTTCCAATAAAATATTGGGGAGCCCAGGATATGCCTGGGGAAGAGCGGCCCCAGCCGAAGACGTGCATTTTATTAACTTGAAACAAAACCAAGCAGCTGTCTGAGCAGTGTAACCGTTCGGAATGCAGTGCACACCTCTGGTCACACCACTCGCCGCTCGAAGAATATATGACATTTGTTTGCTGGCAAACAGTTTTTGGATCTGAGTGCTATGCCTAAGCCTAAGCTTAAGTCCTTGAGGATCGAGGTGTTTTTCGCGAAGGCAAGCAGTTCCTCTGGTGTCCTTCTAGAGGCCTCTTCCAGTGATGGCATCACCGGGGTACCCAGGTATTTTCTCCTTGCCCTTGATATCGCCGGGCAGCTGAACATGAGGTGTTCCAGGGTTTCGATAGCCCCTTCTTCATCGCATTTCCTGCAGTTACCACTGTTGGTGATGCCTAGTTTAACTGAGTGTGCTGCAGTCAGACAGTGACCTGTGAGTATTCCCACTAACATTCTGCAGTCCTTCCGTGGCAGGTGCAGTAAGTAGTGGCTAAGTTTACCATTGCGCTCCTGGCACATGGTTTTCGAGGTTCTGCAGGTGGTGGTACTCTTCCACCGGCTTCTGGACTTCGTGTCCGCTCGTTTCTCTAGAGCGCTTTGTAGCGTTCTAAGGGAGACAGGCACGTTCTCGGTTCTGTCAATGGGCAGCCCGATGCCTTCCTTAGCCAGTACATTCGCTGTCTCGTTACCTTCGATGCCCTGGTGGCTGGGAACCCAATAGATCCGCACTGACTTTGTCGTGCTCTCATGCCTCCCTGCTCGGCAGGACGTTTCTGGAACTGACTGCTGACTGCATGGATCTTATCGCCGCCTGGCTGTCCACGAACAGGTTTACCACGCCGTGTGAACGATCGATGGACTGAGCTACCTCCGCCGCTTTCCCTATGGCGTAGACTTCTGCCTGGAATATGCTGCATTGGCCCGGTGGCTTATAGCACAGCCTTATCTCAGGGTCTGTACAGTATATGCCCGCTCCTACTCCTCCTTCCATCTTGGAGCCGTCGGTGTAGATCAGAGGTCGGCAGCGTCGTATGCACTGTTCATAGGAAAAAATTTCGGGCAGCGCAGTCGGCACACGTACAGCGTAAAGACTTCGTGTGGTTTCGTTATTCTGCCTGATGACGTAGCGGCAGAGAAAAATATGCTCTGCTGACGTCGCTGCAGAGAAACATGCTTCGGGCTATGCACAAACGGCTTCATATTCTGCCCGCTTGCCTCAGCGGCAGAGAAGCATTCGTGTGCCCTATGCACAATTCTTCGGCTTTCGCAGCGGCAGAGAAATAAGTAACGTATTTGACTTCGTGTCTGTTGTTTTCGCACACAAACGCACCAAAAAAATGTGTGAGTCTGTGTGCCCTGGTGTAGATGTTGAGGTGTTGAGTCTGATCCCGACCCCTTTTCCAGTCGTCGGGTCCCATAAATGAGGTTGTTTTTACATCCAGGCATTCAGGCAGGGATCATGTAGTCAGATTTACTGGTCATGTCTCGGCCAATTGAACTGTGCCCGAATCATTGTAGAGACATGTTTCCTGATGCTACTAAGCGTTGTGCCGCCTTTCCTGCAGTCAGTTGAGCGTGGATGTCCAGGGTGTCGATTCCGATTATGGTTTCAGCGCAACCTCAGCACCTATCCTCACCCTCGCCCCGCCGAAATCACTTCGGCTAGCATAGTTAGGCAAACATCAACTACGTCAATTATGCAACAAAGTTGCACCGGCTCCAATTGCACAAACAAGACCAGACCTCAGCAACCAAACATCCGTTCCGATTGAATAACGAAGAGTAAGCAGATTCTTTCCCAGCCAAAAGAGCAAGGCCAGCAAATTGTAACTAAGCTTAAGACCTAAGAATGAAATATAGAATCAGAATACAATCGAAACTCAAACACTCCGGGTGTAATTTATTCGCAAACCACCTCATACGACGAATATCCCAAGATCAGTGATCTTACCCGAGTCACCAAAGATCATAACTGGCGCAGTCTGACACTCTCGTTAACGGACGGAAATCTGGAGGAAGTAGGACCCTAGAAGACCGAGACAGCGAGAGAGAACCACGCAGGAGATGTCTTGGAAAATAGCGGCACTAACAATCCTGTAAGGAAAGATATCTGAATATATGTACTTGTGAGTAGAGTGACGTGAAATGGAGGAGAAAATGAAGAATAAAGAAATAAAATGTAATAAATTGTCAAATCGTGAGAATGGAAACTATGTGAATACAATGGTGTGCAGTGAAATGGACCATAATTAAGAGAGAGATGATATGGCACGTTGGCCAGGGCAGTAGAGACTCGAGTTATTTGGGCCAAAACGAGCATAATTATTGCAAATAAATTGTCAGAAGGGAGTGAGGAGAAAATAGTGCAAAAGTGTCGTGGAAAAATGTTCGAACGGCGGACGGCTGCTCGAGCGGTTCGATTGTGCGCGGTTCGAGCGGCGGTGGTTCGATCGGCTGCGGTTCGATCGGCTGCGGTTCGATCGGCTGCGGTTCGACCGGGTGCGGTTCGAGCGGATGCGGCTCGATCGGTTGTAGTCGAGCGGCGGTGGTTCGACTGTGAGTCGGGGAGTTGCGGTCGGTTCGACGTCAGGCCGAGAGGCCGATACGATCATAGAATCGAGCGTACGAGTAATCGTGCTGACGATCGGGCTGTTGGCTGGGACTGCAGCAGCGACGGTTTGGTTCGACGGAGGCAACGCTAACACTCCGTCGGGTCGAGTCGAGCATCGAACGGTCGAAGATGAGAAACCACACACACACACACATTATAAAGACAGGGCCGGCACGGAAAGATAGAGGGCGCAAAAGACAAAATAATAAAACACCGAAAATGGTGATGGGCAAGACTCCGTGAAGGAGGTGATACAAATTAAAGGATACGCAATCCAAGTCAAGGCAAAGTACTGTAACGCACAGTGCGGACGCCTAGCATAGGGGTGGCTAAGGGAAAAGAATAAAAAAAATAACTGATAAAAGTGAAGAGTCAATTACAAGTTCCAGTCACTCACATGCGTAGGGCAAAGTACTGTAACGCACAGGGCGGATGCCTAGCATAGGGGCGACAGGGAAATGGAACAAAGAAACGCTACCAGGGAGACACGACTGTCCGCGATTGGTTACGAATACTGTAACGCACAGTATCGTGACTAGCTTCAGCGTGTAAGGTAAAGCCACAAAGTAAATAAAACGACGCATATAAGGCGATCGAATAACCATAAACGAAGAATAAACCATTTCTCGGCACACCATATTATTAGAAAAGTACGATCGAAAGATACTCATTTTAATCAATTGCAGACTCCATTTCACGAACACAAGGACAAACTCGATCTAGTATAAGTACTTAAGTAACACACATTATAGAATTACACAAGCACACATTATAATTAAGATACGATACACACCTTACACAAATCACCATACACACATACACTACAAAATACGTAAAATAAGAAAAAATAATCGAAATAGACTATATGTCAAAGGAAAGCAGTAGCCAAAGGGTTATTCCGTTAGACACGGAGGCTTTAGCAGCTAGTAACGAGAACCAGGGACAATTAGAAATGACCCAACCTAGCAACACAAAATTAATCAAAGCGATTCGAGTCATAGAGTTAGTAGAGATTATACCAAAGTATGAAGGAGGTGTAGAGAAGTTAGATGGATTTATATCAGCGGTCGAGCAGATATTAGACCTTATAAAAGAAGAGGAAAGGTCATCGGTAAGGGTTATAGCCCTTAGGGCTATAAGAAGCAAGGTAATAGGAGCGGCAGATAAGGCATTGGAGCTGAATGAGGTAGATATGAATTGGGACAACATTAAGAAGGCATTGGTGTCTCATTTTAGGGATAACAGATCTGAGCAGGATTTAATCATGGAGCTTACACACATAAAGGAGAAAAAGTTGGATTTAGAGCCTATATC